GAAGAAACTACTTCCTGTTTTCATGCAGCTTTTCTTTAAAGCAACCATGTAAAGCCCGAGCATAGGGGTCAGCAGAGAATTGCAGCAGACGTTGCTGCTAACTGCCAGGCTAAACTGAATGTGGAAGACCAGGTGTAACAGTGACCAGGGACAGACAGCCCAGTATAATCCGGGCCTTCTCTCCATGTCCTAAAGATTGCCTCCTCCAAGTAGTCTCTCCATGTCCTAAAGATTGCCTCCTCCTCTCTAAACCCTGCCCTGAAGACTAGAAAGGGGAGGAAGGCAGCACGCTCTCATGTACACGCATGTCAGAGCACCTCCGTGTTCTAAGATTACTCTGCCTTCGCAGCAGGTGGTGTTCCAGCTCCCAGCACGAGTCACGACCAAGTGTGCGTACAGTGTGGGATCTCCCAGCATCTATATACTCACGCTAGACCCTTTGTTTCCCATTGTTCTCCCTAGTCTGGATGTGTTTTTCCGCTGGCTGTTTGACAAGAAATTCCTGGCTGTGGCCGCAGTGCGATTTGAGTAAGTGGTCTCCAAGGCTGGAGGGTAGGGAAAGCCTGTCTTCACAAAAGCAATTGGGAGGCGGGAGGGGGGCTCTCCCCATATATTCGTGGGAAATGTGGTGAGGCCTAGTCTCACACAGACTTCCTAAGAGGCAGAATATTAGGAGGAAGAGGCAGAACAGTGGCCGTTGCCTGGCAATGCCAGCCCTGGCCAGCATCCTGTCTGCTCCTCTGAACCCGCCCGTATGCCCCTCTGTGCCTGCAGTCAGGTTCAGGTGCGTTACTTAGCTCGCTCTCCTTTGTCCCCAGGTGCGTCTTTCTGCCTGATAACGGGGCTTTCTTTGTTAACTACGTCATCGCCTCCGCCTTCATCGGGAACGCCATGGACCTGCTGCGCATTCCCGGCCTGCTCATGTACATGATCCGCCTCTGTCTGGCCCGCTCGGCCGCCGAGCGCAGGAACGTCAAGCGGGTATGTGCCAGAGCCGCCTCCCCCCCGCCCTTGCAGAGAAGGGGTGTGGAGACCTGCGCTGAGCACTGGATGCGTGTCAGGCCTCTGGTGAACAAACAGAGTGTGTTCCAGCAGTTGTGCACTTGTGCAAGCGTGCATGGGGGAGTCTCTGCCTGTGCAAGCTGAACAGCCAGACGCATGCTCGCATGCAGAGGTATGTTGTGTAGTGTGTAAGGAACCAGCTGGCTGGCACGTATCCCCTCAGGAATATCAGTGCTGCATCCTGAGAGCCTGGGGAAAGCGGGGGATTCCCACAGCTCTTCTTAAGGCATGTCCCTGTGGAGCTGCAGCGTGTGCAGGCCCATCCACCGAAAGTCTGAACAGGCTGCTGTCCACAGACAGAGCAGTGCACCGGCTCCTGAGATGCCCTCCTCCTTCCCACTGGCCAGGGCACCAGGCCACTCCGTGAGCCATACCGATGCGATGTCTGCTTTCTCCCGCAGCACCAAGCCTACGAGTTCCAGTTCGGAGCCGCCTACGCCTGGATGATGTGCGTCTTCACCGTGGTCATGACCTACAGCATCACCTGCCCCATCATCGTCCCCTTTGGTAGGTGGTACAGCGCCCCTCTGCCTCGCTGCTCATGGAAGGGCTTGAGGCCAAAGCAGGGGGAAGCGGTGTCTTTCATTGCCTCCAGTGGGGGAGCCCGTCTGCAGGGCGGGATGGGAGGCATGGGGGTAAAAAGTTGGGAAACTGAGTCACTGGTTCACTTGATATAGGCTTACTCAATTTTCACCTTCCTTTATACAATTTCAGGCAATGATTGTCACTTACAGGGCCTGGGCATACCATTATGCCAGACAGTTGATCACAGGCAAGACAGAATTGGTAAATGGGCCCTCATTACCACATTGTGGGGTACCGGGATGTCCTACCACTTTCCATGGTTGTCATCTCCTCCTCTGATCCCTTGGTCTGGCCCTTTCTCTTTCTGGCCCAGTGCTTCTCAAGTCTGGGCCCATGTTTGCTTAGGCCTTTCATACATTCCTACGCTACAGAGCACTTAATCAGTATCCTGATGGCTTTTAACAGGCTAGCCCACTGGGTGTGGGTGGCCCTTAAAATGAGCATGTGCACATGTTAATTACCACCGGCAAGGTTTTTCCTGTTCAGTTTTGCAGTTTCTGTGTCATGTCATTTTATGTCATCCTGCCCTGGGTCTTCCCCGAAAAACATGGGGGGAGGGGTTCTTTGTCACAGGTTTGTCTGTTTACCTCAACATTTCCAGTACAATACGTACCTTTGTTCTGTCAGCAATACCCTCATTTTGTTCTGTCAGAAATAACCCGTGTAAAAGAATTGGCAAAACCACACTTACGCAGCGAGGTCTTGGCCTGAGTGTTACCTTATCTATGCTCCTTCACTTCCCAGAGATACAAACCCTTAAGCTAGGACTAGCAATGCTTTCAGTGTTTCCGTTTAGCCAGGCTGCATGCATCTCTGTCAGCCCTGCCAGCCAGTCTCCAATATCTCCTGATCTGTCTGGAGAGGGGAGTTGGAAAGCAGGACTATGATTCTTTAAGGGCACAATTTCTTATTGTTTCCAAATGGGGCTTTCAGTCCAAATCTGGTCTGGTTTGGGAACCATTATGAAGAAACATCATAAAGATGCTGCTCTGAATGCATTTGGAGGGCTGTCTCCATGTTGAGGGTCTTGCTGTTCAAGCAACCCCCGTGAGGCCTGGTTAGTGTCCCCTGGGTCCAGTATGTGAGTGTGTGTGCAAATGAGACCCTTGAGAGAGCCAGTCTGTACATAGACACAGTGGCTCTTGCCCGCCCCCCGCCCCAGGTGCCCTGCATTCCCAGCGAAGGGACAGCGAATCACCAGCTGGAGGCTCTGTGCAAATGCCTGCTGCTCCTTCTCACCTGGCCATGTATTGCACAGCGCAGGTAAGAGACGTGGGCCCCCTGCTCCCTACCTGCAGGCTCTCTGCTGCCCCCATTTCAGGGGATGGCCACCCCAGGTAACTGCAGCGAGAACCATCTGCCAGGCTGGGCACTGAGCTGTAGCTTTCCCAGCAGGAACAGAAGGGGCCTGGTTGTCTTTGCATCACAGCTGCTTCGGCTCCGCCTCTTACCCTAAAGGATCCCAGATGCTTTCCCAGATGGCAAGGTGCCCCCTCTGGTGCCCTGGAGGCAGCAGTCCCTGCAGGGTGACAGTTGCAAATTTGTGAGGCTGGCGAACAGAGTCTGGAGGGCCCAGGCCATGCTGTGAGCTGGCGGATCATGGTCTCCAGATGAGGGTGGAGAGTGGTGACCTAGCTACATGATGCTCCATGCTTGGCTGGCTGAGCAGCTTCTCTGCCCAATATGATCAAGGGGGTTGCCATCTCTTGCCTGAAATCGCTTCTTTGAGAGGCCCTGTTTGCAGAGCCCCTGCCTGGAAGGGTGTGCCTGGCCAAGGGTTCCCAGCCAAGCCTCTCAATGCCTGCTGAAGTGGTCATTGCTAATGCCCTGCCTGATTGCTGGTGTCCAGGAGATTGAGCTTTTGGTGTGGTGGCACGGGATGCTTTGTCATGTGTAGGTGGCACAAGCTTCAGCTGGCACAAAGGGGCACCAGAGAGGTCTTTCCATAATGACACGGAAATAGGCCGGGTGTGATACGCCAGGGGCTCGAGGATCCCCCTCTCGAGCAGGGGCAGAGCAATGTGCTTGTGCCCCAAAGCAGGTGGGAGGGAGTTACAGCAGGTACATGTGTCACTGCGAGCACTCAGCTGCCTAGCACAGCAGCCCAGCCTGCTGGAGAGGAGACTGGGAGTGGGGAATAGGCCAGATCGGTCTGGAAAGTCCTCCCTCGCCCTGCTGAATGATGCCTTTCCTTTGTGGAAACGCTGGCTCTGCGTGGGGTGAAACTCCCCCATCACTCTGACCTGCTGTTCAGCGGCGAGGTGGGCTCTGGAGAAGGGCCCTCCCGACAGGAATCGGCACGTGCAGGGGGTAGGAGGGTGTAATGGATAAGTCACTCCCGCGTCCTGGCACCTTGCCTCTGAGTTGTCTCCCTAAAGTCGAGCCCTAAACAGCCTGGCAGAGAGACACTGCTGCTGTCTGTGAGCCATGCCCTGCTGCTGACCTTGGGGCTCAGCAGCCACCTCACTGCTCTTTCCCACTGTCTCTCTCCCAGGGTTGATGTACATGCTCCTCAAGCACCTGGTTGACCGGTACAACCTGTACTACGCTTACCTGCCAGCCAAGCTGGACAAGAAGATCCATTCAGGGGCTGTGAACCAGGTGGTGGCAGCCCCCATTCTCTGCCTCTTCTGGCTCCTCTTCTTCTCCACCATGCGCACCGGTGAGCATAGGCTGAGGGAGGGAGCTAACAGGGCAAGGGAGCGAGTGGCGGACACCGGGTTATAAAGACGTACTCAGCCTGGCTGAGCCTGACTGTGTCAGGCTGTCGGTCCCCCCAGAACCAGGCGCTCACTGGATGTCTCCTCTCGGTGGTGGGCAGAGGCCCCGGAGCGGTGGGTATGGGACCACCCTGACTGTGACTCTTTGCCTTGCCCAGGGTTCCTGGCCCCCACCTCCATGTTCACCTTCGTGGTTCTCGTGATCACTATTGTGATCTGCCTGTGTCACGTCTGCTTTGGACACTTCAAATACCTCAGTGCTCACAACTACAAGGTGAGGTTGTGGGAGGCACCGGGGGGGAGGGCACTGTGGCTGAGGTGATGAGGGGTTACCTCAAGCTGGGCTGTGAGGGAAACGCCTCACAAGGCCGTTCCCCTTCATTATGGGCTCCCTGGTCTAATACCTCTCCTGCCTCCCATATCATACACAGATGGATGTAGTGGAGATGGGGCTCTTGCCGCACCTTGGGGGCACCACACTGCTCTTGGGCTGGGGGGCTTATTGGGGGCATGCCCCCTTGCCATGCCCCATCATCGGCACATGAGCCTGTTCCCTCTCTAGTGACAAAGAACAGGAGCCTCATAGGGCTGCCCCTGAGCTAGGTGTTCAGCCCCCCTTGCCCCTCCCAAACACCAAACCATTGCTTGTGCGCGTTGATTCCCGGATCACATAAGGCTCCCAGGGAAGGCTCGAGGGAGGGCAGCTCCTACAGCAGTGAGGGGGGGCTCAGTGGGCCAGCTGCCCTGCCGTCTCCAGTCCGTGTCTCTCCATTTCATTCTGTTGCCCTCTAGATTGACCACACGGAGGTGGACGCCGTGGACGGGAGGGAGAACGGGCAACCTGTCGCTGTGCCGCCAGTTCCCAAATCCGCTGTAAGTCACCTGTTCCCCTGCTGTCCTGTGTGTGGGTTTGGGATGGGGGAAGAGGGCAGCACATGTCTCTTCCTGTCAGAGGGCCTCGTTCCTGGCCTGGCCCAGCCGGCATCCAAGAATATCTTTGTGCATGTCGCTTGCCCAGCAGAGATGGGGAATTGTTCCACCCTTGCCCCATTCCCCCTCACGCCCCTGATGCTTTGTTCACTTTTTGCCTCTCTCTCAGCTGGGACAGTGAAACCAGACTGGTCAGTTTCCCTGTTGGTTTTGCTTTGTGGCTCTCACCTCTGGGGACGCTGCAGGGCTGGGACCACCATGTCCCAACGCCAGCTGTTTTCATTGGAAGCTGACATAATGGAATGAAAACACTTTGGGATAACCCCTGCCCCTCCTGTCCAGCCTTCTGTCCAAGGCTGCCCCTTTAATCTCCTGAGCTCACCGGTTCTGGTAATATCTGCTGAGGGGGGAGCTTCAAGGAGCTGGTTATAACTCCTTAACTCTGCCCCCACCTCCGTTGTAAGTTAGAGCTACCTGAGGGCTGTTCTGACCTGTGCCAGCTAGCAGCTGATCTCCAAGAGACCACTGGCCATCTGGGGCTAGCTAGACTGCAACACATCCTAGCCATGCCCTTCATGTACCAGGGCTCTGAAGGCCTCCTAGAGGGGCTGGCTACCCCTGTTCTGAGCGGCACAAAGGGGATGAGGAAGCGGAGCTGGGAGTCCTTCGTAAAGTCCAGATTTGTCCTGAGAGTGACCAGAGGGTGACTAGTAAGGGCAGTTGGGTTCCCCTTCAGCAGTGTGACTCCGCTGACTCTGAATCCCCCGAGTATGGGGAGCAAGGGCGGCCCCTGCCAACTCAGCCAGGGCTGCGTGTGTGCGTGCAGTTGGAGTGGCTACCCCTTGTCACCATTTCCGTTGGGTAAAGCTGCTGTGATGACACAGCTGATCTGTCAATGCGGGGCCAGAATTCCCCAAGCTGTCCTGTCTGCTCCCGGGCTCACCCTGCAGCCCAGCAGGGGCTGTACCAGTAAACCAGCTCATGCTGAACTCCAGCTTGGCAAGGTAGGGGGGAGGCTGAGGGTTCAGTTCCCTTCTGTGCCCCATCTCCACAACAGGGCAGCATCTTTCAAAAGGGCTTTGCTATGTGAGGGCTGGGCTTGTTGATGGCAGCAAGTGTTGGGCACCTGTCCTTTGAGAGAAACTCAGACCTTTCTAATATCCGGCTGGCTAGCCCTCCCCACCCACCACCACACACACACACTCCCAGTTCTCCCACCCCGGCTCTCTGGGGGGCTCAGGTGTTCCCTAAGGCCTTTAGAAAATGGGGGGATGACCTGCAATGGAATGTGAAGAGCTGCCCCCCGGGGCATGTTGCCGGCCTTTCCCATCTTCTCTGCGGCTCCCCCGAACACCCACCCCCTCTCTGGGGCCTGTCCCCTGCTGACACAGGCATTCCACCCAGCAGGGATTCCTTCCAGCTCCGGTGTGCCCTGCGCTCAGCCCCCAGTCTGCATGGCGCTGGCCTGCCAGCCTGCGCTGCCGTGGCTTTCCAGCAGCCTCACGCAGCTAACGACCTGTTGTCTTCCTCGCTCCAGCAAAAGTACATCGCCCAGGTGCTTCAGGATTCCTCTCTGGAGGGCGAGGCCACTGAGTCCGAGGAGCAGGGGTCTCAGGACGAAGAGCTCATCAACCCGGACGGCATGAACGACACGGATTTCCAGTCGTGTGAGGACAGCCTGATAGAGAACGAGGTCCACCAGTAGCCCCCCCCTCCCCCCCACCATGGGCAGGAGGGGCAGGAGAGGCCCGGGAGCCGAGGCAGCCGCTGTGAACGGGAGAGAACTGAATGGAGCCGGAAGTGTGGCAAGGACAACGCCAGCCCGGGCCCCTTCCCACCTGCCCAGGCCGCTGCCCTGAAGCTCATTCCAAGGGTGGGACAGGACTGTGCATCAAATTCTCCATTCCCTGCTTCCCCGCCCGCTTCCTCTCACTCCCATCAGGGCGGCCGAGAAGGGACCTGCTCTGACCAGTTACCTTCTCTCACATGGACCGAGGCCAGGTGAGCCCGGCGAGGGGGAAGGAGGAGGAGGAGGAAGATGACTTTGACCCTTGCTGCTTCCATGCTGGGAGGAAGAGGACCCAGAGGCAGCAGAAGCCTGGATGCTTTGGGGTGGCAAGTGTTGCAGTGGGTGTGCTCGGGCCTCCCGTCTGCCCCCCACACATGAAATCTTGAACACTAATAACTTATTAGATTTAAAAGAAAAAAGCTTTAATCAAGGTATTGCAACCCCAGCTAGTAGAGGGTGGCTGTGAGCCCGGCAGCGGGCACTGGTCCTAGCCGCGGGAGGAGCAGTGCCCTGGCACTGTGCTGCCCTCTGCCCCGTGCCCGTGTCTCCCCCACGCATGTGCATCGGCGTGTGAGGGCCATGATCCTGCTTGGGTGACGTACCCGGGCCCACTCCTGCTCCTCCGACAGGCTGCCGGGGGCTGGTGGCAACACCCAGCCATGTGTGGGGAGTAGACGTGTCCCGGTGAAAACTCTGCTGGTTCCCTGATGGCGGGAGAGCCCCTCTGGGTGGGGAGGATCCTGGCAGGGCCCCTTGCAGGGCAAGGGGAGCATGGGGCTAGCACGGGCGCATACGGCCTTTTCATGCCTGTGGTAGCTGGCGCCGTCAGGCCACGATGGGGCTCACCGTGGAGCATGTGGCATTGTTTTAAGTGGCTTTTTTGTACATTTCCCCCCCTTCCTTTAAAATAAAAAACTGACACCCAGCTGCTGCCCCCTGTGCTCTCCTGTGTCTGCGCAGCGGGGCCAGCAAGGGCGGGCACTGGGGTAGGCTTTCCCTTACTGCTGTGGAGCGGGGCTGGGCCCTGACCCCAGCCACCAGCCAGTGCTGGGACTGACCCAGATGCCCTGGCCTGGGTACGGAGCCCTGGCTGACCCCTCCTGTGTGTTTGGTTTCCGCCAGTGTAGGGCTGCATCTCCTCGTCCCCATTGCTCAAGCAGCAGCCTCTGCCATCCGCCTCCCCCAGCTCTAGAATCCCCCTCCCCGCCCCGGGAGAGCGGGGTGTCTCCTGGGAGCCTAGTCCCATGGGTGCGTGTGACATGCTGCTGTGGGATTCTCAGGAGACACTGCCGCCTGTTGGGCATATTCCAAACCTCCCCCACCCCGAGCACCGCACTCGTGCTAGGTTGGATTTGCATAGGGAGCTGAGTGCTGGGCAGCTTGGGCACGTGACAGGCCTCCCTGCTGGTAAGCTGTATTTATTTTCCCTTGCCTCCCTCCCCCTGCTGCTCTGTTCCTTGGCCACGGCCAGCCACAGCCCCGACTGTGCAGCCTGCATGGGCACAGCTCCAACGAATTGTAGCTCAAGCAGCACTTGGACTGCAGGGGTGTGTTGGAGCCAGTCGAAGCAGGCTCCGCAGAGGGCTGTAATAACTCGCTCTGGTCCTTCGCTAGCAACTTCCAGCCGGGAGCACCAAGCACTTTATAGACACTAACGAACTATGCCCCTGTGCTCCCAAGAGGGCATTCAGAATCACCACCCCCCTGGTACAGAGGGGGAAACTGAGGCACAGGGCAGGGAAGAGACTTGTCCAAGGTCACACAGGAAGTCCATGGCAGCTTGGACCAGAGACCAGATGTCCGTCCTTTACCTGCCCCAGATGTCCGTCCTTTACCTGCCCCTCTGATAGGAAGTCCAGAGACAATAGCAGGCTTTGCTCCTCGATGGAAGACGACAAAGGAGGAAGGACTCAGACTCCGGCTCCTTCTTAGGAGCATGTTCTATGATAGAGGCTGTGAGGGGTTGGGCCTGGTGAGTTTCTCTGACTTACTTCCCCTCCCCTTAAGAGCTCCCCCTTGAAATGCACGTTGTTGGGGTCTGAGCGATTTCTCCCAGAAGAGGCTAGAAACGCAGCCCAGGGCTCTGAGTGTTTGTGCCCAAACAGGAAAGCCAGGCGGCTGGCTGGCAGTGGTTGCTGTGTCCATGCGGCTGGTGCTAACTGGCACCGTGTCTGTGTCGAGCTGTGTACAATACCCTGTATATATTTGTGTAAAAAAGAAAAACTGGAACTCACCAGCTTGCCAGTCTCTCTGTGTGGAATGGGTTCGTGCTGGCGGTTGCAGCACCTTGGGGAGGGCGGTTCTGCCTGAAGCCAGACCCCAGAGCCTTCCGCACTGTGGGGAGGAGACCGCTGCCTGGAGCTGGGACCCAGTGTGACACGCAGACTGGGGCTGGCCCTCAGAGCCGTGGGCACCCTGCGGGCAGGGCATTCTGCCTGCAGCTGGGAGCCACTGGAGGGGCAGGAGGCTCTGCCCAGCCTTGAACGTGACCCTGTCCCCCCGGGTCAGTGTGCCGACAGTGTGGCAGGGCGGGCAGGTGGGGAGGAGACCGCTGCCTGGAGCTGGGACCCAGTGTGACACGCAGACTGGGGCTGGCCCTCAGAGCCGTGGGCACCCTGCGGGCAGGGCATTCTGCCTGCAGCTGGGAGCCACTGGAGGGGCAGGAGGCTCTGCCCAGCCTTGAACGTGACCCTGTCCCCCCGGGTCAGTGTGCCGACAGTGTGGCAGGGCGGGCAGCCCGGCGGCTCCACCACCCAGAACCCAGCGTGGGCTCCTGGTTACCACACCCTGAGTCAAGCACCCCTCCCCCCCAGCCTGAGGTGCTGCCTGCTCTGCCCATTAGCTCCCACAGGGCCTTTTGCCTGAGCAAGCACTCCACAAAGGCACCTGCCACCAGTGGAGAGGGTGGGGCAAATGCCTTTGTAAGGTTCAGTGGTCCCAAGGTGGAGCCTGTGCCGAGAGCCCCAATGTGTCCTCGCTCTGCCTGAGCTGTGGGGCTGGGGGGCTTGGTGGGGTGACAGTCTAATAACCAGTGGTGTGAGGGGCACATCCCAGCCTCTGCTCCTAGGCCTCCCCTGCTAGCTCCGGGCTGGCTCTGCCATCTTGCCCTTTCCTGTAGGGAGATGGAAGGGAACGGAGGCCTGTGGGGTGCATAGCTGGTGGCTGTTCCCCACTCTGTGCTCTCCACAGCTCCGTGTCCCCTCTCCGGCTTGAGAGGGAGGCTGACGGTTGTATTTGCCCGCTCCCTCAGCCCACTGCCCAGTAATTGTGCTGCCCCTCAGGCGTAGCAGTACCTGGCCCGGCTTTGTGCTCATGTGCCAGGAGTATGGCAAGGGAAGTGGGTCTTCTTCCAATCCACCACAAACAGTCCCACCTATTGGGGGGAGTCTGCCCCTCCACATGATGTCATTGGGGCAGGGATGGGCTCAGCATGGCCATTTTTCCTGGAGGGCTAGGGTATAGGAACCAGCACAAGAGGCAGGGTGAGGGTGGCAGGTTGGGGAGTTTTTTGTCTCTGGCTCAGCAGGGACCCACAGTTGGTCACTGACAGCCGTTCAGTGGCCCATGTGGGAGATAAGTTGGCTGGTCTCCAGACAGATCTCAGTGGACAAGTGCTCATCTCACGCCTGCACTGACTGGCTGCCGTGTCGCCACCTTCAGCAGCAAGCCCAAGGATTGACTGGATACCTTGTGGGCGCCCACCCTGTGCCTGCACGTCTGGCTCCAGAGCTGTCAGTTCAGCACCTTTGCCAGCTCTGTATAATCCCAGGTGCCCAGCGACTCTCCACACTGCAGCCCAAGCTGCCTCTGCTCTGGAATCTGCCTCGCCCAGCTGGATCCAAGCGTGAAGCTCCATGCACTGAACCCGTCACCATCCTGCAAGTGGGTGCTGGGCTCACATGGTCCCATACACAGTGTGCCCAGAATTTCTCGGCAATGGAGAATCAGGTGAGCTCTGGCCCCAGCCAGATCCCTATAAAGGGGTGGCGCGGGTGGCATCTTGCAGTGCGGCCCTGGTGCTGGATAACCTTGGTGGGTTGCAGAGGTTGTTTGCTTTTCCGTTTATTCCTGGTGCAAATGCGGGGAAGTGGTTTCCCTTGGCAAACAGGTTCCCTGTGTGCTGGGCAGGGCTGCAGCTGCCTCTCCACTGCAGAAGCAGGGATGCTTGCTCAGCACCTCCCTGATCCTAAACAGTATAGCTGCCCTCAACCAGTGTGAGCAGTGAGTCTGTGGTCCTGAGCTCGCCCCTGCTGCCCCCAGGCTGTGGGTGGCCCGCACAGCACTCTGGTGTGGCTTTGGGGGCATGCTGATGGTGACCCAGGATGGGATGACCCCCCCCCCCACAGCACCCTGGGAGGCAGGACTGGAATTGGGGAGGCAGCCAGGGCTCAGGGCAGAGCTGGTTATCAGGGGTCGTGGGTAGAGCTCAAAGGTCCATGAGGGTGTCCCTGACTTAATCTGAGTCCCTGATTGCCATGTGCCCTGCATTGGCATCTCCCTCCCCTCACTGGGTCACGGACATTGGGTAGGGAAGGGCTTTGGCAGGCCCCTTCCAACAGGGCACAGGAGGGTGGGTCCCACACTCCCCTGCAGCCTCCTGCCCTGTCTAGGAGGCAGAGCTCTGGTTTCAAAAGCTGTGGGGGCTGATGTTCCCCGTCCTTCCCTGCGGGAGGTGATTGCCCAGCCTGGCAAGTCTGGGTGTGGGGAAACCTGATCCAATGGGCAGCTTTCTGCCTTAGTCTCCTCCCCAGAAGGAGCAACTATCTTCCCTTTTCCTCTCCCGCCAGCTCTCTCTTCTCTCTGCCCCACGCGCAGCTCTCCCCCGCTCTTATCTCCTGCCACCCTTTTTCATCAGCCTCGTTCTCTTGGCACGTCCTTCAGCCCTGCAACCCCTGGGCCCCAAACGGGAACAGTGTCCCTCTTACCCACTCCCAGAGGGCCCAAACTGGCAGGGCCCTCTCTTGCTTTGCCTCCCTCCCCAGGGCCCTGAGCTGCTTGGCGAGAGCCAGGCCCTGGCCTAGAATGACGCCCTGTTGACTCTCAACCTTTGGAGCTCCCTGACGTCTTGGAATATTTGAATCTGACATTCCCACCCTCCACCTATTCCCTCCACTTGTCCCTTCCCACTGCATCCCCTGATGCATCTCCTGACACTGCCCAAAGGCGCCCCAGACTCACTGTCACAACAGCAGCGCCTGGCACTTCTAGCCCACATCACCCATCCAAAGCGCTGCCAGTGCCCAGCAATAGTGTTCAGTGGAGAAATTGTGGGGGTCCCACTGTGGCTGGGTGAGCTGTGGTTCCTTCTGCATCCCGGACAGATTCTCACTCTGCTTTGCTGGGAGCTGCCAGGTCACTTGGGACCAGCGCTGCCTCCTCTCCAGCTGGTCCTACCCAGCTCCTTCCAGCATGTGCCTGGAAGAGGGGGACAGAGCAGATGGGGAGGGAAGAAATGAAGAGCAAAGGGAAGTTGAGTACGGTTTGTTCTGAGATCGCAGGCCAGGCCAATCAAGCAGCAGCCCATTCCTGGTGGCACAATCCCAGGGAGCGGAATGACTCCAGAGATGCAATGCAGAGGTGGGGTGCTGTATCCTAGGTGATGGTGACTGGCAGGGCATGAGGGCAAATGGTGTGGGGTGGGGCCACAAACCAATTTTCTATCAAGCCATGGCCCATGCTGTGAATATCCTTGGATGGCTCCCAGCTCCGGGGGCAGGGACAGTCATGTGTGGCAGGAGCCAGTTCTCCTTCTAGGTTGCCAACTGTCTAATGCCACAAACCCAAAGGTCCCTGCCCCGCCCTGAGCCCAGGCCCTGGTCCCAACCTTTCTTAGGCCCCACCCCCACTCACTCCATTTCCCCCTCCCCACTCCATTGCTTGCTCTCCACCCCTTCACTCGCTTCACCCTGCTGGGGCAGGGGATGGGGATGCAGGAGACTGTGTGGGCTCCGCTCTGGGGCAGAGGGTGGGAGTGCAGGAAGAGACTCAGGGGACGGTGTGTACCTTGGGCCGCTCCTGGCCTGCACACCCCTCTAGGAGCTCCTGCCAGGCACCTCCAGACTGTCAGTACCCAAAAGCTAGTCTGGCGGCAGTAGCCTGCGAGAGATAGCAGGGCACGATGCCAGGAGACTCCCCGCAAAACCGGGAGGGTTGGCAAACCACAGGCAATGCCAGCTCCCGGCAGCAGGGGGCGCTCGTGGAGCAATTGTGGGGTGGCTTCCTCTAGTTTTGTCTACGGCCACTATCAGGGTTCTGGGCCCCTTTGCTGGGTGCTGCCTGGCTGCTCTGCTCTAGCCAAGAGCCTGGGCAGCACTCAGGCACTCTGGGTGAATGTCCCTCCTGGGCACAAGAGAGCAGCTTCAGGCCCTGCTTCTGGGTGTGGTGCCAGGCATAGCTGAGGCGTGACTCACGGGGATGTGGCTCCAGAGACAAAAACAGCTGTCACTAGGGTGAGAGGAGGGCTGCCCTCTTAAAGGCACAGGGGCCTTTCTTCCTCTGCCTTGGCCCTGAGGCACCGCCAGGGGTGCTGGAACAGTTTGTGGCATGAGGGTGCTGAGAACCATTGGCCCAGCCTGCAATCTCTGGATACGATGAAGACCTCATCAAACCTGGGGGTGCAGCAGCCGTCCCCACAGGCCTGTAGGGTCCGGTGCCACAGGCCAGTTCACAGGCTACATCTA